CAGGGCTCACCTGTGGGGGCCCAGGACAACGTGCCGCAGCCAACTCGTTGCAATCAACTCGCCGTGGGACAAGGCAATGCTGCGTTAATGGTTTCATTCAGTTCCTCTCATTATTGGTAAATGCATTCTCGTTTACGTTATTGTAACTTTTGCATTTCTGGATCGACTTTCTTTATGTTACCATTGTTGGCCACAGTTCCATCAACATTAATTTAACTTTTGTATTTGTTGAGTTGTCCCGCGGCGAGTTGTCCCAGGGCAGGGGTAGGCAACCTTGGCTCTTTTATGACTGCTGGACTCCAACTCCCAGAATTCCTGAGCCAGGCATGCTGAGGGGAAAGGGAGAGGTTTCCAAACTGAGCCATGCTGGCCCAGGAATTCTGGGAGTTGAAGTCCACAAGTCATGAAGGGGCCATAGTTCCCCCATGCTGGCTCAGGAATCCTGGGAGTTGAAGTCCATGAGTCATGAAGGGCCATAGTTCCCCCATGCTGGCTCAGGAATTCTGGGAGTTGAAGTCCACCAGTCATGAAGGGCCCACAGTTCCCCCATGCTGGCTCAGGAATTCTGGGAGTTGAAGTCCACGAGTCATGAAGGGGCCAAGGTTGCCTACCCCTGTCCCAGGGCAAGTGGGCAGCAGGGAGCTGGCCATGGTAAGCTGTCCCGTTCCACACCTGCGGATGAGTGAGCTTACATTTCAGAACAGGGCTGGGGAACGGTGGCCCTTTTACGGCCTGTGGACTTCAACTCCCAGAATTCCATGCTTGCTGGCTCAGGGATTCTGGGAGTTGAAGGCCAGAAGTCATAAAAGGACCGTCGTTCCCCACCGCTGTTTTAGAACCACCAGATAAACTTTCTGTACCAAAGGAAGATCAAAGGAAAGCGAGGGAAACGCTCACTCAAAGCACAATCAAAGCATTTGGAGATAGAATCGACCCAATAAACATTACTGGAAAATACTTGAAGCAGTTCCTGGGCTGCCTGCCAGCAGATTGCAAGGGAAAGGCCGAAAAAAGGTCTTGACAGTCACCCTGAAGTGGCCAGATAAGAGAAAGATAAGGGGGTAATTTAATCGCCCAGTGTCATTTGGTCCTGCTTTGATAAGCTATTCAATTTGATAAGCTTTGATAACTTTTCAAAAAGCCAGTGGTATGATAAGCTGTTTATTTTTACTCAATTATTCAATCAATCGTTTATGTATGGTATCAAAAGTTTGGTATTTATTTGCAGTCTGCTGACTTTCTGTTGACCGTTTGTTCTCCAGGATCCCCCCCTCTTCCTGTTAAGTTATGCATCTACCCTAATTCTATCAAAGAATTCCACATATATCTACACAACTGGTCCTCGCTTAATAACCGGTCGCTGTTCGAAGTTAGGATGGACCTCTGCAGAGCTACAGTACTTACGGCCCGTTTTTGAAGATGCGATGGCTGTACCTTCTCTGCAATCACAATCTCTGCATTTTGCAACTGGCTCACGTGTGTCAGCTATTTGTAGCATCCCACGGTCACGTAATTGCAATTTTGGGCCTGATTTTTTTTTTTTTAACTGGTTTTTACTTCTGGGTTCTGCCAAAAAATGCCCACTGGGGAAAATGGGTTTGCTTAATAACTATGGCTTTCACTCACTGACTGTGGTTTAACAACTGCAGCGTTTGCTTAACAATCATTGCGAAAAAAAATGTCACAAAAGCGGGTGCAGTCACTTGGTGACCCTTGTGATTTATGATTGTAATTCCAGTCCCAACTACAGTCATAGGTTGAGGACTACCTGTGTACTGTGCTTACTAAACGCGGAATGCTGTCTTCCAGGCATCTTTGAATTACACGGTGACAGCAGGCAAGTCCTATCTTGAAAAGCTGAACTTCAATAAGGGCTCTTGTGTTTTTTCAAAGGCCTTCACAACGGCCCAATGTGCATGGGTACATCAAAACACTGATGTGGTCCTAGCCAGCCAACCATGGTTTGCATGATCAGCATAACCCAGCAATGTAGGAGATCTGTGATATGACCAGATCTTTTTTGGATTTTGCAAAACAAAGAAAAATCGAAGAATAGGACCTCAGGTTGCAGGCCTCAACATGTGACACTTTAATTCAGGGGTCTTCAAACTTGGCCCTTTGATGACTTGTGGACTTCAACTCCCAGAACTCCTCAGCCAGGCACGCTTGTCTGGCTGAGGAATTCTGGGAGTAATAATAATAATAGTAATAAAGTTGGAAGGGACCTTGGAGGTCATCTAATCCAACCCCCTGCTCAGGCAGGAAACCCTACACCATTTCGGACAAATGGCTGTCCAGTCTCTTCTTAAAAACTTCCAGTGTTGGAGCATTCACCACTTCTGGAGGCAGGTTGTTCCACTGGTTAATTGTTCTAATGGTCAGGAAGTTTCTCCTTAGTTCTAGGTTGCTTCTCTCCTTGATTAGTTTCCATCCGTTGCTTCTTGTCCTGCCTTCAGGCGCTTTGGAAAATAGCTTGACTCCCTCTTCTTTGTGGCAGCCCCTGAGATATTGGAATACTGCTATCATGTCCCCCCTTGTCCTTCTCTTCGTTAAACTAGACATACCCAATTCTAGCAACCGTTCCTTATATGTTTTAGCCTCCAATCCCCTAATCATCTTTGTTGCTCTTCTCTGTACTCTTTCTAGAGTCTCAACATCTTTTTTACAGCGTGGTGACCAAAACTGGATGCAGTATTCCAAGTGTGGCCTTACCAAGGCATTGAAGAGTGGTATTAATACTTCACGTGATCTTGATTCTATCCCTCTGTTAATGCAGCCTAGCACTGTGTTGGCCTTTTTGGCAGCTGCAGCACACTGCTGGATCATATTTAGGTGATTGTCTACTAGGACTCCGAGGTCCCTCTCACAGTTACTACTATTGAGCATGGTGCCACTTATGCTGTACTTGTGCATTTGGTTTTTCTTGCCTAAATGTAGAACCTTGCTTTTTTCACCATGGAATTTCATTTTGTGAGTTAGTGCCCAGTGTTCAAGTCTGTCCAGATCCTTCTGTATCTGAAGCCTGTCTTCTGGAGTGTTGGCTATTCCTGCCAGCTTGGTGTCATCTGCAAATTTGATGAGTTCCCCATTTATCCCTTCGTCCAAATCGTTGATGAAGATGTTGAAGAGCACTAGGCCCAGAACAGAGCCCTGGGCACCCCACTACACACTTCCCTCCATATAGATGCAGTTCCATTGAGGACCACATGCTGAGTACGGCCGGTCAGCCAGCTACGGATCCATCTGGTGGTTGAAGTCCACAAGTCATCAAAGGGCCAAGTTTGAAGACCCCTGCTTTAATTCATTCTAAGTGGGAGGGGAATTCCCCACTAGCCTAAAATACAGTCGTAGAAAAACTAGGCTGCTAGGCTGCATTAACAGAGGGATAGAATGTATTAATACCACTTTACAAGGCCTTGCTAAGGCCAGACTTGTAATCCTGCATCCAGTTTTGGTCACCACGATGTAAAAAAGATGTTGAGACTCTAGAAACAGTACAGAGAAGAGCAACAAAGAGGATCAGGGGACTGGAGGCTAAAACATCCAAGGAATGGTTGCTGGAATTGGGGATGTCTAGTTTAATGAAGAGAAGGACGAGGGGGGACATGGAAGCAGCCTTCCAGTATCTCAGGGGTTGCCCCAAATAAGAGGGAGTCAAGCTATTCTCCAAAGCCCCTGAAGGCAGGACAAGAAGCAACGGATTGAAACTCATCGAAGAGAGAAGCAACCTAGAACTAAGGAGAAACTTCCTGACAGAACAATTAACCAGTGGAACGACCTGCCTCCAGAAGCGGTGAATGTTCCAACACTGGAAGTTTTTAAGAAGAGACTGGACAGCCATTTGTCTGAAATGATATAGGGCAGGGGTAGACAACCTTGGCTCTTTTATGACTTGTGGACTTCAACTCCCAGAATTCCTGAGCCAGCCATGCTGAGGGGAAAGGGAGAGTTTCCAAGCTGAGCCATGCTGGCCCAGGAATTCTGGGAGTTGAAGTCCACAAGTCATAAAAGAGCCAAGGTTGCCTACCCCTGGTATAGAGTTTCCTGTCTGAGCAGGGGGTTGGACTAGATGACCTCCAAGGTCCCTTCCAACTTTATTATTATTATTAAAGGGCTGTGAATGCGTTGCATGTCAATGTGAAGGAAAATTTGCCCAAAACAATGTTTGCAGAGTTGACCAAGATAATGGTAGCACAGGGACAAATATGTGAGCAAGAAGGAGAGAGAATTATAGGCCAACAAAAGAAAAATCAATATACAAGGGAATAACTAACATTCACGGAGAAGAAATGGCTAGGGACCACTTTAGCCATAGATTTTCTTTGTTCCCGTATTTTACAAGGTTGATACCCCAAATAACAATCAAAAGAGTACAAACTGAAGCTTCTCCACTGAAAGTAGTAAACACGGACATTTTTCAGGAAAAGTTTAGTTCTTTTCCAGGTTCTAGGTAAGATCCTTACTTCAGAAACAGCTATCTTTCAATGTCACTGATATTGATGAGAGAGAGAGAGAGAAATCTAGTGGTTAAGGCACTAGCCTCGTTCAGAACTGAAGAAGCTCCTTGGATGAAAAGCAAAATGTCTTCAAGGAAAAAAAAACAAGAAAACCCGGTTGTCTTTTGATAAGCACCTTTAGTACACTTAAGTTTGTAAACTTTTCTCCACGATAAGATTTAAAAATAATTCTGTTCCTCTTACTATTTACTGTAGGATGGTTGCTAGACACTGCAAAAAAAGTTCTCCAGAGGTTCCTCACAACACAAGAAGATTATGCTATGAAGACACATCTTCATGAAATATTATATGTCCACAAACAGGCACACCACAAACGGCCCAGTGTAGAGGGGATGTTTTTACAAGCAGAAATATAGCAGTACTCTCACTTACCTGCTCTGGTGACCCTCCTTCCAATTAATTTGAATAGTTTACATGAATTTAAGGAGGCCCCAATTTCTAATTTTTCTGGTCTTTCATAATGGGTAGGTCAAGACAGCTTACCGATTTGTTTCACACATTCCGTGGTAGGCCTCAATGGCGTCTTCTGGGTCCATATGCTTGTCACTATTGGGCCAGCTGGTTTGCGTGCTCAGGTTTGATTCCTTAAAAAAAGTCAAAAGATCAATATCTTGCCTCATAAATTATTGCTGTTTTTGATAATGTTGATTGTGCACGCACTAATTTGGGTTTGCAAGCACATTTACAATAGCCACAAAATAAATGAAAGCCAACAGAAAGCTGACAGAAAAAGCCCAAGTGATACAACCTAAAGGGAGTTAGAGAGAGAGAAAGAGAGAGAGACTGGCGATAGATAAAAAAAAAATCCAAACCTGTATTTCATTTATGCTGGTTTAATTCTCTTCCCATTCCTCTAAATCAGGGGTAGTCAACCTTGGCTCTTTTATGACTTGTGGACTTCAACTGCACTTCTGGGAATTGAAGTCCACGAGTCATAAAAGAGCCAAGGTTGACTACCCCTGCTCTAAATAATCCTGCATTTTAAAGAGAGCAGTGAAGATTCTCTGTCTGTGAAAATATCCCGAATAATTCATTTCACAAAATTACTGCTCCCAAATTTAGGAGCAGGAATGTATGATGCTAACATAAAATCAAGAGGGTTTGCCAGCTTATAAGGAGCAGAAATCGGGGGCAGAACAGCGCTGGGATCTAAGGGTGAAGGTCCCCCTGTCCGGTCGCGTCCAACTCCAGAGGCAGCGCATACCCGTTTTTTGGCCAAGGGAGTCCAAAGACATTTTCCGTGGTCATGTGACCAGCAGGGCTATACACCAAAGGTGCACGGAATGTTGTTACTTTTCCACCAAAGTGGTACCTATTTATCTACTCGCAACTGCATGCCTTCAACCTGCAAGGTGGGCAGGAGCTGAGGCAAGGAGCGGGAGCTCACCCCATCAAGCGGCGTTCGGGTCCCTAACCTGGGCTGTCAGCTTTGCAGCTGACAAACTCAGCATCTTTAACCACGTAGCCACTGCACCCCCTTCTAGGAGGGCTTAAAACCGAAAGCGAAATGGGGAAAGTTATAAAATTCATCACAGTGCTGAAGGAAATGTACCAAGTATAGCCAAAGTCATTCTCAGGAATTAGTCTTTGTATTCGTTCAACTGTTGCAGAGAGAGAAAAGTGGCACTTGGCAGAATTTTACTCGTGTAGCTTACATTGCTCCCTCCTCTGTTCTATTTTAAAAGAATAATAACGCTGAGATGCAACCCTAAAGTAGAAATTCTGTGGTTCTGTAAAGTAATCCAAATATTAATTCTTCACATCCATCACAATTCTGACAATCTCCCAGAGCTAGCAAAAAGCTTTATAGAAAATGAGAAATGTCAGGTCAAATATTGTGGAAGACAAGACTGGACTTCTGATAATTCAGGAGAAGGATTAACTTTGATCTTGCCTTAGGACAGGGGTAGGCAACCGTGGCTCTTTTATGACTGGTGGACTTCAACTCCCAGAATTCCTGAGCCAGCTATGCTGGCTCAGGAATTCTGGGAGTTGAAGTCCACCAGTCATAAAAGAAGCCACGGTTGCCTACCGCTGCCTTAGGATAAGCCTAAGAATAAGCAAATCAATTAACATCCAATTCATTTTTTGTTGTTGTTAATTGCGAAGTCATGTCTGACCCATCGTGACCCCATGGACAACGTTCCTCCAGGTCTTCCTGTCCTCTACGATTTTCTGGAGACCATTTAAGTTCACACCTACTGCTTCAGTGACTCCATCCAGCCATCTCATTCTCTGTCGTCCCCTTCTTCTATTGCCCTCAATCTTTCCCAGCATTAGGCCCTTTTCCAGTGAGTCCTTCCTTCTCATTAGGTGGCCCAAATATTTGAGTTTCAACTTCAGGATCTGGCCTTCGAAAGAACAGTCAGGGTTGATCTCTTCTAGGACTGACCGGTTTGAATGCCTTGCAGTCCAGGGGACTCGCAGGAGTCTTCTCCAGCACCATAATTTGAAGGCCTCAATTCTTTTGCGCTCAGCTTTTCTTACGGTCCAACTTTCACAGCCATACATTGCAACTGGGAAAACCATGGCCTGGACTATACGCACTTTTGTTGGCAGGGTGATGTCTCTGCTTTTTAGTATGCTATCTAGATTTGCCATAGCTTTCCTCCCCAGGAGCAAGCGTCTTTTAATTTCTTGGCTGCAGTCCCCATCTGAGGTGATCTTGGAGCCCAGAAAAATAAAATCTGTCACTACCTCCATTTCTTCCCCATCTATTTGCCAGGAATTGAGAGGGCCAGATGCCATGATTTTGGTTTTCTTAATGTTGAGTTTCAAGCCAACTTTTGCACTCTCCTTCTTCACCCGCATCAAGAGGCTCTTTAGTTCCTCTTCACTTTCTGCCATTAGAGTGGTATCATCTGCATATCTTAGGTTGTTGATATTTCTCCCGGCAATCTTAATTCCAACTTTTGATTCATCTAGCTCTGCCTTTCTCATGATGTGCTCTGCATACAAGTTAAATAGGCAGGGCGACAGTATACAGCCTTGCCGGACTCCTTTTCCAATTTTGAACCAATCAGTGGTTCCGTGTCCAGTTCTCACTGTTGCTTCTTGACCCGCATATAGGTTTCTCAAGAGACAAATGAGATGGTCTGGTACTCCCATCTCTTTAAGAACTTGCCACAGTTTGTTGTGATCCACACAATCAAAGGCTTTTGCATAGTCAATGAAGCAGAAGTAGATGTTTTTCTGGAACTCCCTAGCTTTCTCCATTATCCAGCGTATGTTGGCAATTTGATCTCTAGTTCCTCTGCCTCTTCGAAATCCTGCCTGTACTTCTGGTAGTTCTCGATCCACATACTGCTGGAGTCTAGCTTGTAGGATTTTAAGCATAACTTTCCTAGCATGTGAAATGAGTGCAATGGTGCGATAGTTTGAACATTCTTTGGCATTGCCTTTCTTTGGAATTGGAATGTAAACTGACCTTTTCCAATCCTGTGGCCACTGTTGAGTTTTCCACATTTGCTGGCAAATTGAGTGTAGCACTTTTACTGCATCGTCTTTTAAGATTTTGAATAGCTCAGCTGGAATACTGTCACCTCCACTAGCTTTGTTGTTGCTCAGATTTTCTAGGCCCATTTCACTTCACATTCTAGGATGTCTGGTTCAAGGTCAGTGACCATCTCATTGTGGTTATCTGGGATGTTAAGCTCATTCTTGTATAGTTCTTCTGTGTAATTTTGCCATCTCTTCTTAATCTCTTCTGCCTCTGTTAGGTCTCTGCCATTTTGGTCCTTTATCATGCCTATCTTTGCATGAAATGTTCCCTTCATATCTCCAATTTTCTTGAAGAGATCTCTGGTCCTCCCTATTCTGTTGTTTTCTTCTATTTCTTTGCACTGTTCATTTAAGAAGGCATTCTTATCTCTTCTAGCTACTCTCTGGAATTCTGCATTCAATTGGGTGTATCTTTCTCTTTCTCCCTTGCCTTTTGCTTCCCTTCTTTCCTCAGCTATTTGCAAAGCTTCCTCAGATAGCCATTTTGCTTTCTTGCATTTCTTTTTCTTTGGGATGGTTTTAGTTGCTACCTCTTGTACAATGTTGCGAACTTCCATCCATAGTTCTTCAGGCATTCTGTCTATCAGATCCAGTTCCTTAAATCTATTTGTCACCTCTCCTGTATATTCATCAGGAATATGATTTAGTTCATACCTGAGTGGCCTAGTGCTTTTCCCTACTTTTTTTCAATTTAAGCCTAAATTTTGCAATGAGAAGCTCATGATCTGAGCCACAGTCAGCTCCTGGTCTTGTTTTTACTGACTGTATAGAGCTTCTCCATCTTTGGCTGCAGAGCACATAGTCAATCTGATTTCTATATTGACCGTCTGGTGATGTCCATGTGTAGAGTCGTCTCTTGGGTTGTTGGAAAAGAGTGTTTGTTATGACCATCGTATTCTCTGACAAAATTCTATTAGCCTGTGCCCTGCTTCATTTTGTACTCCAAGGCCAAACTTGCCTGTTATTCCGGTTATCTTTTGGCTTCCTACCTTAGCATTCCAATCCCCCATGATGATAAGGACATCATTTTTTGATGTTAATTCTATAAGGTTCTGTAGGGCTTCATAAAACTGGTTAATTTCATCCTCTTCAGCACCAGTGGTTGGAACATAGATTTGGACTATTGTGATATTGAATGGTTTGCCTTGGATTCGAATTGAGATCATTCTGTCATTTTGGGGATTGTATCCCAGTATTGCTTTTCCTATTCTTTTATTGACTATGACGGCTACTCCATTTCTTCTGAGGGATTCTTGCCCACAGTAGTATACCTGATGGTCATCTGAGTTAAATTCACCCATTCCTGTCCATTTTAGTTCGCTGATTCCTAAGATGTCGATGTTCAGTCTTTTCATCTCTTTTTTGACTACGTCTAGCTTGCCTTGATTCATGGATCTTACATTCCAGGTTCCTATGGAGAAAAAATCTTTACAGCATCGGACTTTCCTTTCACCACCAGATATATCCACAGCTGAGCGTCCTTTCGGCTTTGGCCCAGTCGCTTCATTCTTTCTGGCGCTACTAGTACTAGCCCTCTGCTCTTCCCCAGTAGCATATTGGACACCTTCCGACCTGAGGGGCTCATCTTCCAGCGTCATATCTTTTTGCCTTTTAGTACTGTCCATGGGGTTTTCATGGCAAAGATACTGGAGTGGTTTGCCATTTCCTTCTCCAGTGGATCCCATTTTGTCTGAACTCTCTGCTATAACCTGTCCATCTTGGGTGGCCATGCACGGCATAGTTTATAGCTTCATTGAGTTACGCAAGCCCCTTCGCCACGACAAGGCAGTAATCCATAAAGGGGTATTCATTTTAGTTACTGCATTAGCAATTTTTTTCAATTAACACAATTGCTAACATATTTACATATCGATCTCCGCCCACCTCACTATCCCAAGGGACTCTGGACTTTGAACCCATCTTGCTCTGATATTTGCACAGCAGTTAATAACTTAAACAATAACTTATTATTTAAACTTATTATTTGTAATAATAACTTTATTATTTATATGCATAAATGCCCTTTTAAAAATACAAATTAATTTGGTTTTATTCTCTGGCCCCTGCATTTCCCTGATTAAGGCTTTTGAATCAACATTTTCCCAATGCAAGTTCTTTGAAATACGAATCATTTTTACCGGTGCTTGCACTTCTTTTGAAGTTAGTGATGGTGGTAACTGAAACTGGTTGGTTAATAAAATGCCAGGTTTTCGCCTGTGGAAACTTCTTTGCCTTTCACTTCAGTTTATTTATATTTTGCAGTGCCATCGTTTTTTAAAATCATCCTGTCAACATGCCCATCGTTTGATCAGCTGGAGAAAGCTCTTTAGAATAGAAGGGGAATACTAGGGAGAAGCTGATAAACCCCAGGCTCTCCAAACTTAGCCACTTTGGGACTTGTGGAGTTCAACTCTCAGAAGTCGCCAGCCAACCTGGTTGCTGAGGAATTCTGGGAGCTGAAGTCCACAAGTCTTAAAGTGGCCAAGTTTGGAGAGCCCTGATGTAAACTAAGCTTTTCTTGTACTTGGTCAACCTTCTGGGGAAACCAATTGGGTCTTGACTGAAATCTTTTGACAACCCAAACGTCCATCATGAAACAGAAATAGAAACACCCTAGCACAGCTCTACCTCCAAAGTAGCTAATTTCTTCCTCCTGATCCATTCTGGTACTCTACATTTATTTATTTATTTATTTATTTATTTATTTATTTATTTATGAGACTTATATACCGCTTTAAGTGCAAGCACTCTCTAAGCGGTGTACACCAGTAAGTAATGTATATATATATTTTACATTGCCCCCAACAATCTGGGTCCTCATTTTACCTACCCCGGAAGGATGGAAGGCTGAGTCAACCTTGAGCCAGTGAGATTTGAACCGCTGACCTGCTGAAGTGGCCTGCAGTACTGCACTCTAACTGCTGCGCCACCTCAGCTCTTTCTACACCAGACCCAAGCCTTGGCCAAGACTGGCCCAAGAATCCTCCGTTCGTCCCATGGATTTCCTGGCCTTCCAGCTTCCTTGTCACAGAATCGTAAAGGGCTATTTAAATCCCAGGGGCCAAGCCCCTGCTCAAGGCAGGAGTCAAAATTAAGCATCCCTGATAAACTTGTCATCTGCTATCTCATAGTTTGTCACATGGTTATCTCAATATTGCACACAAACTATTCCAACGTTGATTCAATGCTACGTCAACAGCTTTGTCTGCTGAGAACCCACTGAAGGCCTCATCAAGACCAAGGGAAGGCTGGGAATGAGACACCCTCCAAGGCTCTTCCGCAAACCTTAAACAAAGCAGCCTTTACTTCCATCCTAGATCCAAACTTGGAGCAAGAACTGTCCATCTGCTCTATGGCCTGCAGCTCAAGATGGACAATCTCCGGGCATGTTCTCAAGACCAAGAAGGAAAGCAAGTAACATGTCACTCCTTTATCTGCCAAAGCTGAACTGAATTTAATTTCCACGGCCATATTGGACGGCCATTATTTTGGGGCTGGATGTTTTCATCACTGTGTTTAATCTGCCGTATTTCCTCCGCAAAGAGGCGTTTTCCAAAAATCAACTGGATTTTCTTGGGTTTTTCTCCTTGAAAACATTTCGGTTCTCATCCAAGAAGCTTCTTCAATTCACTTCCAGTTCTCACTGACTTGTGGGGAAAAGGAGGATCCAGTCAGTTAGAACTAAGGAAGCTTCTTGGATGAGAAGCAAAACATTTTCAAAGAAAAAAAACCAAGAAACTCCAGCGGCCTTTTGGAAAAAGCACTTTTGGGATAACCATAATGTGGATGATTGAGAATCTCTGAAAACATTTCCTCTGCGTGTCAAAAGTTGCACCAGCTTCCAGCTTCCCGATTTAAAATTAGAAGTTTCCCTCTTTCTTTCTCTCTCTCTCTCTCTCAGTTAATGCTTTTTTTAAAAAAAGGTTGATGAACAATCAGCTTCTAAACAACCCTGACTCTGTAATTTTAGTAAAACAACATGCACGACAGAGGCTAACCCAGTGAAAAGAGCACATGCGGAGAGAGGGAGGCCGTCTGCACACACTTTCTCTTCCATTACCCTATTCCTGCCTGCGTCTTTTTGCTGGGCCGCCCTTAGGATCTGCGTCCTGAGACCGAGGACCTCTTCCTTCCGCACTTCCAGCTCTTCGCTCGCTGACCTGAGCTGATTCAGGAGGAGGCGGTAGGTGTCGTGAACGTCACTGGAAGAGTTGTTTTGGACCACGCCATCCACAACAGCCTTCCTGAGTTCGTTTAGGTCATTTTTCAGCTTCTTGTTCTCAGATTCTAACTCCTGCCTCTATTAAAAAGGATATTTGAAAAGTGATTCCCATTCCGTACACTTTTATAATTAATGGCGGGTGGGTGTGTTTAAGTTGTTGAAAAAACACAAAAAACGGTCAGCTAGATGCAGAGAGCTGGATGATAAAACTCAGACAGATGGGGGGGGGAACATTTAAATTAATGTTTCAGTTCTCTTGGAGACGCCATCTGGTGAAACAAAGCAGGTGGTGAGAATATACAAACCACATCAAATGCAAGAGACAGATTCATCTCCCGAGTGGGCTTGTCTGCTGCTGTTTTCAGTGGACAATAATGACAACAACAACACAACGTTCAGAAGAATGCACTGATGCTTACCATCAGAAAGTGCAAAAAAAGGGCAAAAATTTGACCTCTTAAAAGACACCATTGTTTGGACGTGAACAGAGCCAGAAGGAAAACTTTGGACTTTTTGAGTTTTAGTCTTTCCTTAATACTTGAGAAATTGCTCTCAACGATTTGGCCCTCAAGGGATTAATTTTTTTTCCAGTATTGAGGAAAACTCACTTAATTTACCCTGCCTTGTTTGGGGGAAAGTGAGATCCGGATATGCCAGAAATCAAAAGGGAAAACCCACAACAGATTTCATGGCTGATTGATTTTACATCACAGCTTGTTAGGGACACTATAAAAGAAGCTGCAAAGAAGAGCAAGAAAAGGATCCAGGACGATTCCATCGACTGAACATTGAGCTTGTTCTGTTCTTCCTTTCTTTGAATTACTTCCATCCCAGCTGTTATGATGAAGATCTAAATTAAAAACTGACCTCCTAGCTTGTTTTTCTCCTTATTCCTTTAGGACAACATTTTTAAGGCATAAGACTTGTGGTGGAAGCCTTCTAGGTTGAACAATTCAAAATAGAGCTGGAAGTGACCTTGCAGAGGTCTTCTAGTCTAACCTCCTGCTCAAGCAGGAAACCCTATACCATTTCAATCAATCAATCAATCAGAACAGAACTGGAAGGGACCTTGGAGATCATCGAGTCCAACCCCCTGCTCAAGCAGGAAACCCTATATTTCAGACAAGTGGTTGTCCAGTCTCTTCTTAAAAACTTCCAGTGTTGGAGCATTCACCGCTTCTGGAGGCAGGTTGTTCCACTGGTTAATTGTTCTCCCTGTCAGGAAATTTCTCCTTAGTTCTAAGTTGCTTCTCTCCTTGATGAGTTTCCCTCCGTTGCTTCTTCTTCTGATTTCTTTAGGTACTTTGGAGAATAGCTTGACTGCCTCTTCTTTGGGGCAGCCCCTCTGATATTGGAACACTCCTTCTCTTCATTAAACTAGACATACCCAATTCCCTCCTAAACATTTATTGTTTCTAAAGCAGTGGTTCTCAACCTTTCTAATGCCGTGACCCCCATAATACAGTTCCCCATGTTGTGGTGACCCCCAAATGGGTGTGGCCACCAATAAGAGGGAGTAGGACAGCTAGGGAAAAGGGAAAAAAATGGCGGACAGCGTGGTTTGGCGACCCCCGTGAAATGGTCGTTCGACCCCAAATGGGGTCCCGACCCATAGGTTGAGAACCACTGTTCTAAAGGAAGCAATTTACCAATGACCCCTACCCACAATCTTGACTTTTCCTCAAAGAAAAAAAAATACTTTCAAATTCCAAGCACCTCTGCATTAATCATGAGCGTAATATTTTTCTTTTAGAGAAAAGTTCAATATGCAATCATTTCTCTGAAAACTGTTGATGCCAGTAAAAAAAATAAATAAGAAGAAACAGCAAATTCTATTTACAACTTTGTCCTTAGGGAATTTTGCACACAAAATGGAAATATCCGTAGGTGATAACTTAGGAAATGGACTATAATACTGACAATTTTCTGCAGTCTGGGTCTTCCATTAGGATTACAAGAATTGGGAACGGTCCCAACAAATTTGGAGGGCACAAAGTTAGGAAAGGTTTATACCTGTCTTGTTTTGATGTCTAGTGGTTAAAGCATCAAGTTAGAACAGGAGTCTGAGTTCTAATCTCACTTTAGATGTGAAAGCTGGTTGGGTGACTTTGGGCCAATCACCAGGAGACGGTGAGTTCTAGTCCCAACTTAGGCCTTAAACCCAGCTGGATGACCTTGAGCCAGTCATTCCCTCTCAACCCAACTCACCTCACAGGGTTGTTGTTATGGAGAAAACTGGAAGAGGAAGGTGTATTGGATATGTTTGCTGACTTATTTATAAAAATAATAAAAGCACAATACAAATAAATAAATAAAAATAATAATCTTCAAACTGGGGTACAAATTATCTCTTACCCAAAGTAGTAGTAGTGGTAGTAGTAATAATAATAATAATAATAATAATAATAATAATAATAATAATAATAATAAAGTTGGAAGGGACCTTGGAGGTCATCTAGTCCAACTTCCTGCTCAGGCAGGAAACCCTACACCATTTCAGACAAATGACTGTCCAGTTTGGGATCCGACTACTGATCTCGCTACAGCCTCGTTTTGAGATTTCCGTTGCAAAGTTATTCATTTGCACAGGTATTCAACCCTCTAGCTTATAAACTACAACCCAGAAGAACATTAATTATTAAGATAAAAATTCCCGGTTTTGGTAATAGGGGAGGTTGAATTATTGTGACTGCCTCCTGAGTCAAAAGACTGAGTCTTTAATAGATTAGTGTTAATATTTTTATTCATGATTCCCAGTTCTATAGGAAGTGTTCTGGATCATTGTAACCCTGACTAGAGCATGTAGAGCTGTATGTTAGAATGTTTGGCATTTATTGAGTTAAGTGCTGTCTCCTTAAGAGATGGCTTATGGGTAATGTAGTTTAGCTAATCAGCTATCTCATGTTAACAGATCTGTGGGAGGAGCCACTAAAGTTCATCACAGGATATACTGGCTAAGGGCCAGTTTGGAATGTCTGAGATAAGCATGGGAGTCATCGGATGACTCAGATGGTCCCATTCCACGTAAGAAGTTGATGTGGAGGAACTAATGAATTTACTTACTTAATGAAGATGAACAGATGTGCAATATCCAGACGGAATCTACAAATAGCAAGTATTGCTTTCTGACTGAATAAATATCTGTTTTGGAATCATCTTTATTTGAGTTTATCTGTCTGTGATTGGATTATTTTGATTCATTATTTTGATTCAACAGGAAGATTGTGTGGTTGTGTTTTAAATTTATTGTAGATTTTTAATTCCCATTCCATACTGGAGAGTCCTATCGTGCTCCAAATTGGTAGATTGTAAATCAGAAATAAACCCTAGAATTAAATGCTCTGCAGATACTCAGATTTCTTTACTCAAAGTAATTTTGGCAATGGCTAGATTCAACCTTGGCTCAGAAGAGATATACGTGCCTAATTTATTAATTACTTACTCCTAATTAATTCCTTTAGGTCTTCTTATGTGATGTCACAACAGTCATTTCTATTGGCATGGTTAATATTCAGCAGTAACATTTCTTAAGAAGAACAGTAGGAAATTGACAGTCAAGGAGAACATGTTCTTCTGGCTGAATGCAACAGATAAGAACAGCTTTGTGACTTTTCTTTTTTATACTTTCTTTCAAGGTCTCTATAACAAGGTAGAACAACTCTAAGATCCAATTAAACTATTTTTTTCCCAAGCCAATTTGGTATCCTTCCTATCATTTAGTCAAATTCCGAATTATTGTGTGCGCCGAATAACATGGAGTCCTATTCCTCAGTTGTGGCCCTAAAATAATGGGATAGAGATCTTGGACCCATCCCCTTAAATTTTTCCTCCAATATCCAACAGAACAACAACAAACAAACAAAAAGAAAGAAAAAAAATCCTTTTCAAACTCCGAACAGCAACAGCTTTCTATATATTCAGATATTATGTTGCATTTGGTGCTAAAACTGGCATGATGAGTTTCTTTATTGTTCTTTTTACCAATTCTGACTATCTTATCAAGGAGAGATTCAACCTAAGAAATAAGGAGAAACTTCCTGACAGTGAGGACAATCAACCAGTGGGACAGAAGTTGCCTCCAGACGCTGTGGGTGCTCCATCCCTGGAGGTCTTTAAGAAGAGACTGGACAGTTATCTAAATTGGTATATGTTCTCTGCTTCAGCAGGGGGCTGGACTAGAAGACCTCCAAGGTCTCTTCCGACTCTGTTATTCTGTGATTCCAGCTTGGTTTCTAATTTTGCAAGCTTTTTTATTTCCCTACGTAATAACATTATCCAAGAAAAAGATCCTTCTACATGCATGCATCCTGATTCCACTCCCTAGCCCAGGGGTAGGCAACCTGGGCCCTTTTATGACTGGTGGACTTCAACTCCCAGAATTCCTGAGCCAGCCATGCTGAGGGGAAAGGGAGAGGTTTCCAAGCTGAGCCATGCTGGCTCAGGAATTCTGGGAGTTGAAGTCCACGAGTCATAAAGCAACTTAGGCCTAGGCCAGGGGTAGGCAACCTTGGCTCTTTTATGACTTGTGGACTTCAACTCCCAGAATTCCTGAGCCAGCATGGCTCAGCTTGGAAACCTCTCCCTTTCCCCTCAGCACGGCTGGCTCAGGAATTCTGGGAGTTGAAGTCCACCAGTCATGAGGGGGCCATAGTTCCCCCGTGTTGGCTCAGGAATTCTGGGAGTTGAAGTCCACCAGTCATAAAAGAGCCCAGGTTGCCCACCCCTGGCCTAGCCAATTATCCCAACCAACAGAAGGAATGCAAGGACTCCTTGTCTAGCAACTGCCTCGTTTAGTGATAGTTCACCGTGATGAAAAAGTAACTTTCTGACCAATCCCCACATTTATGACCTTTGCAGTTCTATAAAACAAAAGAAAGCTGAAGTAAGCTCCAACTCAGGGTAGTTGAAATCTGAGCGACACTCCTTCAGTTCAAGAAAAGGAAAACTCTGCAAGTTAGTAAAGCACAAGCAGGTATTTCAGAATGCTCCTGCAAGATAGATTTATAAAGACTGATAACAGCAAAGCTCTTCCAGGTTATTAGCACCATCACCGGATACCTGGCATTGGGGGGGGGGGGAGAACCGTGGAGATTTCCTTTACCTTCAGACTGTTGTACGCTAGATCTGTATCTCGGTCCAAATCCATTTTGTTCTTCGTTTCAATTACCTAGATGGATTAGGAAGACAAGAAGAGAGACATCTGATTGGACAGCAAGTCAACAGAGGATTCCTGCCTGCAGGCCTGGCTCCCCTGACATTGTCTACCAGTGACAGCACGTCAATCACATGAGAAGGACACTGAAATTAAAGGGTCTTTAGGAAACAGAGCTATCCGAGGTCAAGATAAAAGACGGGCTTGCGATAACAGAAGTACAAGCAATCCCTCATTTTAAGTACAGGCAGTCCTTGACTTACAATCACAAGCCAGGCCTGCATTTCCAATGCTAAGCAAAATGGTCGTTAAGTGGGTTTTGCCCCATTTTACAACCCTTCCTGCCAGAGGGGTTACGTTAGAAACACGGTTGTTAAGTGAATCTGACCTCCCCATTGTCCCTGCTTGTCAGACGGTCTCAAAAAGGGATCACATGACCCTGGGACACCATGACCGTCATAAATACAAACGATTGCTAAGCGTTTTAATTTTGATCGCATGACCACGGGGATGCTGCAACAGTCGTAAGTATGAGAAACAATCATAAGTCGCTCTTTTTCACTGCTGTTGTAACTTTAATCACTAAACAAATGGTTTATACGTCAAGGACTATATTAACATTATACCCAATTTCTTCATTTTGTTCTTCCAGGTGGAAGGGACTAAAGACTGTTGGGGGCGACACGCTAACTCCGTAAACCACTTAGAGAGGGCCGGAAAAGCACCACGGGGTGGTATATAAGTCTAAGTGCTGTGGCTATCGCTATACAGACGTTGTCCAGAAAATTTGGTTAGTTTCCTGTTGGGGGCTACCACAATGTTATGCAGGCCGATACAGAGCTGATATTTCATAAAAATATGTGCCCGTATTTCTATGGCATTGCAGTCTTTTACTGGCTGGAATATTCCTAAAGTGACCTTCAAGAACTGCTGCTGGAAGACCATTAACACCATGAATTAGACTGATTCCATGAACTCTTATACTACTTTGTTAGTCTTTAATATTACATAAAACTCGGAATCTACTGCAACTGACTCAGCAAATGTGACTATTCTTCTGGGATTTTATATCCCTGTAGAGTTACGTTCACAACAGGAAACCTTTAAGCCTCCAACTGCCACTGCTTTCGCCAACACAACCAGTTGCCAGAGTAGGGTCTGCGATGAAACTAATCAAGGAGAGAAGCAACCTGGAACTAAGGAGAAACTTCCTGACAGTTAGAACAATTAAGCTGGAATTGGGGATGTCTAGTTTAATGAAGAGAAGGACCAGGGGGGACAGGATAGCAGCCTTCCAGTATCTCAGGGGCTGCCCCAAAGAAGAGGGAGTCAAGCTATTCTCCAAAGTGCCTGAAGGCAGGACAAGAAGCAACGGATGGAAACTCATCAAGGAGAGAAGCAACCTGGAACTAAGGAGAAACTTCCTGACAGTCAAAACAATTAACCAGTGGAACTCCTTGCCTCCAGAAGCGGTGAATGCTCCAACACTGGAAGTCTTTAAGAAGAGACTGGACAGCCATCTGTCCGAAATGGTATATAGGGTTTCCTGCCTGAGCAGGGGGTTGGACTAGATGACCTCCAAGGTCCCTTCCAACCTTACTACTACTACTACTACTACTACTACTACTACTACTACTACTACTACTACTACTATTATTATTATTATTACCAGTGGAACAACCTGCCTCCAGAAGCGGTGAATGCTCCAACACTGGAAGTCTTTAAGAAGAAACTGGACAGCCATTTGTCTGAAATGGTGTAGGGTTTCCTGCCTGAGCAATGGGTTGGACTAGATGACCTCCAAGATCCCTTCCAACTTTATTATTATTTATTTATTTATATTTATTTATTTATTTATGATATCTTGAGGGCTACCAGTTCACCTGCCCCCAAATCCATTTGAATTTCTGCAAGGGAGCATTTCAAAAGTTGTAGGGCGTTTTTCTTTCCCGTTTAAGAGGTTGTTGCTTCTGCTTGTCAACGTTAATAAAAAATGCATCACAAAAAGGAGCAGAAAGGCTTTTCTCCAAGCCCCCCCCCGTTGTGATGAGCGTTCTTTTAAATAAATGATTCTTTCTGCACCACAAAAGCCCAAACCAAGCAGAAGCGACTGAGGCAGGCGTAGGAGAAGCAGAACTCCTAAAAGGAGAGCCTCCCAAAGGAAGGAGGCTCAGCCCCTGAAGGGGAATCTGACAAGGGGAAGGTGGAGGAGGTAGGGCAGAACTGCCACCATCCGTGATGTGTAGCAGAAAGACATTTGCCTTTCACGTAGAGATATGAAATCTGGACCCACGCAAGGACTCTCTTTTCAGCCTGTCGGCACCGATTAAGAGGCAACAGACATTCTGAGTGGGGGCAAAGCCCTGGTTTACTTGATTCCCAAGAGACGTTATGTCAGTTCTGCAGGAGCAAATGTAGGTTGTCAAGAGCCGTCAATCCCAATTTACTGTTTTACCATTGCAGGAAAAGGTGATGCTACTGTGGTGAGCCCCGTGGACTTCCTCTTATGAAACTGCTATGCCCAAACCCCTCTAAGTTTCCCCTGCCTTGTCCCTTTCTTGTGCTTTGGGACTACGACAGTGGTGATGCCTGCAAATCCCAGAATTTGTAACCCTGATGCATTTGGAGAATCCAGGCTAGAAAAGTCATTAGATCACCCACACGAAATCTCAGGGGCAGCTGCTGCTTCAGAGGGACTTAAATCTGCAGACTTCTGCATTAAAATGTTGGCTTTTTCCACCGAGTTGTAGCCACCTCTTGCTGCTGTCAAAGTTGTCCTCAAAGCAGTGGGACAATATGTGCTGAAGTTCCTGAATTCCATTACTTATTCCTTCTACTGGAGCAGACTAGCCCAAGGTTTCCACCATCGTTCTCTCTTCTGCCCTGGAAGACTGGTGGAAAGCCCTGGTGGGCTCACCTTTTGCTTTTCTTCTTTCTTTCTTACTCTCAATCTTCTGCATCACTCGATGAAATAAGCCCCTAGACAAGGTTTTTCAGAAGGGGCCTGCCACTGCCTCTTTCTTGGAGCTGAGAGAAAGTGACTCCCTGATCATTTCCTACTTGAAGATGACTGGGAAAAGCGGAGCACATTTGGGGGCATCATAAAAAGGACACTGTAGGAGGACATGAGCAATCACTCAGCTGGCTTCCTGCCTTAGGCAGGACTAGGATTCACAGTCTTCCAGTTTCTAGCCTGAGGTCTTAACCACTACACCAGGGGTAGGCAACCTTGGCTCTTTTGTGACTCGTGGACTTCAACTCCCAGAATTCCTGAGCCAGCATGGCTCAGCTTGGAAACCTCTCCCTTTTCCCTCAGCATGGCTGGCTCAGGAATTCTGGGAGTTGAAGTCCATGAGTCATAAAAGATCCAAGGTTGCCTAACCCTGGTCTAGACTCTGGGCTTAGGGTAGGGTTCTTCAAACTTGGCTCTTTCATGACTTGTGGACTTCAACTCCCAGAATTCCTGAGCCAGTGTGACTCAGCTTGGAAACCTCTCCCTTTTCCCTCAGCAGGGCTGGCTCAGGAATTCTGGGAGTTGAAGTCCATAAGTCATAAAAGATCCAAGTTGCCTACCGCTGCACTACATCAAACTGGCATAGTAGCATTTGGAAAAGTCCTAATACAAATATGTCTCATGGCTCACAAAATGCAAATATCTCTTGTGGTTAGGACTCTGGGTTGCTGATCAACAAGGCCACCTTTGAGACCCGTGTGCTGCTGCGTGACAGGGTGCGTTCCTGTCCTTCACTGCGGTTCCTGCCAAGTGTGCAGTTGCAAGTAGATAGATAGTTACCATGTTAGGATATTGAATTTAGTAGCTGGAAGAGTAAAGTGTGCAATAGGCCAGAAGACACAGTTGTAGTTGATTACTTAGTGCTGACTCATGTATGAGGCAATCTATGCTATAAAGGGGGGGGGTTCCATTTTTCCCCTCTCCTTTTTTTCTTCTCTGTGTCCTGTATACTGATGAATTTACCTCATGATGATCCTGTGTCCCTGACTATCTTGTGTTCTTCCTTTTGTGGATGGTGACAAAGAGTGCTGTAACTTTGAGTGTTCAATATATTTATATTTATATGAAAAACCACACGTTTGCGTTAGTGTCTCCGACTTCATCAGGACAGCTGCTGCGTAATTCCACGACCCACCACTTAGTTGGGCACATTCACATGGAAGGAGCCCCCCACCGGGCGTCCCCCAGGCCGTGGGGATGTCGGTGGCTAATCCTTTCAACTGGGAAGAGCCTCGGTGCTTCCGACATGAACGCAAAACATTTAAGATGCCAGGAAATGCAAACCAACTTCAATGCAACATCTTTTAGAGAAATCCAACATGCTTCAAATGAAATCCAACATGCAGTCCCTATTTATATTTCCCTTCCAAGAACAGCTGCGTATTTCCCTTAACAAAATGCTGCCTCTGAAAGCTCAGCTGCAAGAAGCAAAGCAAGCGTGGGCATTCAATCCGAGGCTGCCTTTTCATCATCTTACCACAAGCTATCAAGAGCCAAAGCCAGAGCCAGGATCTACATTTCCCAGTGGCCAGGAAATACAATTGATGTAGCTTGGAGCTAAGGAGTCGTGGCCAAGCTCACTAGCCCTACAGCGAGATAAATCAGTTCAACAGGGACTGTGCATTCCTGCCCAGAAGACGCAGCAACAAAGCTCACAGTCATAATTCTGGACGTATTTCTAACGAACAACCACAAATCCAAAGCGTAGACATCTCAGGATGCAGATATTATGGATAGGGCCACAGGAAACAATTATAAAAAGAACGAACATCCGCTCAACTCCGGGAATAATATTCTGGAACAGAAGCTTAGCGAAGAAAAAGCTCTTCGGGAGACAGAGATGCCCAGGTTGAGAATACATTTCAATATGGAGCTTTTTATTTACCGTCTTCAATGGGGCGGTTCCAAGCATATTGGAACGGCGCCATTCGATTGGATTAATTTTGTACCCGGTACTTTGCTTGTTACAAAAAAGAGCACTGAAGCATCCGAGGGGATGGCAGAAATGTTCCTAAATGCCAATTCTCCAATAGTTTTTTTTAGAAAAAATAAAAATAAAAAGCAGACTAGGGTCTTGGGCTACTTTCAACGATAAGATTTCTCAAATGTTAATATCCATTTCTGTTCTGTAAAAAAGAAGTTGAGACTCTAGCAAGAGTGCAGAGAAGAGCAACAAAGATGATCGGGGGACTGGAGGCTAAAACATATAAGGAATGGCTGCTGGAATTGGGGATGTCCAGTTTAACGAACAGAAGGACGGGGGAGGACAGGATAGCAGCGTTCCAATCTCTCAGGGGCTGCCCCAAAGAAGAGGGAGTCAAGCTATTCTCCAAAGTACCTAAAGAAGGCAGGACAAGAAGCAACGGATGGAAACTCACCAAGGAGAGAAGCAACCTAGAACTAAGGAGAAACTTCTTGACAGTTAGAACAATTAACCAGTGGAACAACCTGCCTCCAGAAGCGGTGAATGAATACCTCTATACTCCATTCTGGAGTCAGTGATGACTGTAAATTCATCGTTCCGTTTATTTCTCACGAATGAAGGCAAATTCTACCTATCAAATTCTGAAGCTGCCCCCTCCCTGACATCATCCCTACGTAGGAGTGACACGAAGAGTAAGGAGGGCGACAGTTCGTTCTCCGAGCTCGTGGGTTGGTTTCCGAACGTTTTGTAACCAGGCTGGGTAACATCTTTAGCGACGCTCAGGGGATGTGTGTATCAGGGCTCTTCTATTTATAAGGGCCGCAGGTGTGGGTGTGTCAAGTGAGGGTCTTGTGATGAGTCATCAGGGAGAGGCTGGGGAGGGGCCTTGTGATGGGGAGGTTACTTCAGATCAGGGTCATTGGAGGGTGTGAATTATCAGTGGGTCGGAGTTGAGTCTTCAGGGAGAGGCTGGGGAGGGGTCTTGTGATGGGGACAATAGATCAGGTCAGGTCAACTGCTGTGGGGGGGAAGGGCTGGAGGGTCGGTGCTGCCTCTGGATGGCTGTGCAATTGATTCGGATTCGGAGGGGTTTGTAGGCTGATTGTAGATCAACGTGTCTGTTGATGGGATGGCGTGGGAGTGCCGTGCTTTGATGGAAACGAAACATTTGGAAACCAACCTACAAGCTCGGAGGACGAACCTTCACCCTCCTCCTACACCATTCGCTACTATGAATGAAGCGTAGAGGCAGAGTAGGATGCAAAGTAAGAAGTGAATCTGCAACAAAACAATGAAATGCAATTGTTGTGTAGGAGATGACCAGGCTGAGCCTGAGCGAGGGGTCAAACGTGTTGTAAGTCACGAGTCTCTGCGCACCCTCCCAGCCCACCTTGAATGCCTCTCTTATCTCCCGCTCATTTCCCTCGACTGTTAGTTGGTCAGATTCTTGTAGAGAGCTTAAGCTTGCAATAAACCTTTATACTCCTTTGAATTCCTGATTTCCCCGGTGCTTGACATTAGATCAGGGGTAGGCAACCTGGGCAGTTTTATGACTCGTGGACTTCAACTCCCAGAATTCCTGAGCCAGCCTGGCTCAGCTTGGAAACCTCTGCCTTTTCCCTCAGCATGGCTGGCTCAGGAATTCTGGGAGTTGAAGTCCACGAGCCATAAAAGAGCCAAGGTTGCCTACCCCTGCATTAGATCCTTAAAGGATTGTCTCTAATCATTTTGAGAATTTGATTTTCAAAACATTTTTGGACCATGGTGCTACACTCACTGTTCTTCCAAAAGTATGTTGACACTTTCTAGTGGTCCATTGTAGATAGTCCTTGGTTTATGACCACAATAAGGTGGCTCTTAAGTGAGTTGTGCCAAATTTTACAATTTTTGGGTGCAGTTGTTAGGTGAATTGCTTTAGTTGTTAAGTGAATCACGTAGTTGTTAAACAAATCTGGCTTGGCTTTTGACTTTGCTTCTCCGAAGCCAAATGGGAAGGTCACAAATGGCAATCTCATGACCCTGGGATGCCGCGACTGTCATAAATACATGCCAGTTGCCAAGCGCCAGAATTCTTCTCACGTGATCACGGGTCGCAAGGGGGAGAACTAGTGGCAAGTCCCTTTTTTCACCGTCACGATTCAAACGATTGCTAAACAAATGGTTGTAAGTCAAGGTCTACCTTTATTGACAACCTCAGCTTACTAAGAAAAATAAATAATTAAAATGTCAGCTGTTGTGGGTACATATCCCCACCCTCTCTTCTCCTATAACAGCGATGGTGAACCTTTGAGAGACCGAGTGCCCAAACTGCAACCCAAAACCCACTTATTTATCGCCGGGTGCCAGGTGGGCGTGGCCCACTGGGTGGGCGTGGCTGTGGTCATGACAGATTGGGTGGGTGTGGCCAAGGTGGGCGTGATCACCTCGATGTTGCTCGTGGGGAGGGACGTCTGTGGGGGCCGGGCAGGGTTGGGGGAGATCCAGGGGGTCTCTGGTAGGTGGGGCGGTGGGCAGGAGGCTCGTCCTGCGGGGTGAGGCGAGGCGAGGCAGGGCGGGGGTGCCATTGTCACAGGGAAAGGTGAGGCAGAGGCCGGGGAGGCTGCTGCCTGACACCATCGGCCCCCCGCACACAGAGGCCAGCGAGCGCATGGGTGCTGGGATGCATCCGGCCATGTGGGACCTCGGCGAGTTAGTGGGCGGCTGGTTGAAGAGGGACGGTTGCCATCTGGTCGCACTGACCGATGACCTCTGGCGAGCCCGGGATAGGGGTTATTCCTCTATCCTGGTGCTTCTTGACCTCTCAGCGGCTTTCGATACCATCGACCATGGTATCCTTCTGCGTCGTCTCGGAGAGGTGGGGGTGGGCGGCACCGTATTGCGGTGGTTCTCCTCCTACCTCTCTGACAGGTCGCAGTCGGTGTTGGCAGGCGGACAGAGATCGACCCCTAGGCGCCTCAATCATGGGGTGCCTCAGGGCTCAGTCCTGTCCCCCCTCCTTTTTAACATCTACATGAAACCGCTGGGTGAGATCATTCGGCGACACGGGGTGAGGTATCATCAATACGCGGATGATACCCAATTATATATCTCCACCCCGTGTCCTTTCAGTGAAGCAGTCGACGTGATGTGCCGGTGCCTGGAAGATGTGAGGGTCTGGATGGGGGTGAACAGGCTTAGCCTCAACCCTGACAAGACTGAGTGGCTCTGGGTCTTGCCTCCCAAAGGTCAACTGGATGGTCCATCTTTAGTCCTGGGGGGGGGCAAATTTACCTCCCTCAGTGCAGGCACGCAACTTGGGTGTCCTCCTGGACTCACAGCTAAATCTGGAACAACATCTATCGGCTGTGGCCAGGGGGACATTTGCACAGGTTCGCCTAGTGCACCAGTTGCGGCCTTATTTGGGCCGGGAGGCTTTACTCACAATCACTCATGCCCTTGTCACCTCAAGACTGGATTACTGTAACGCGCTCTACATGGGGCTACCCTTGAAGGGCGTTCGGAGGCTGCAGTTGGTTCAGAACGCAGCCGCGAGAGCGATTGTGGGTGCGCCAAGGTACGCCCACGTGTCACCTATCCTCCGCGAGCTGCACTGGCTTCCTGTGGGTCTCCGGATGCAATTCAAGGTGTTGGTTATCACCTTTAAACCCCTTCATGGCATAGGGCCAGGTTACTTACAGGAACGCATTCTGCCGCACAGTTCCCAGAGACCGGTGAGGTCCCATAGATTGGGCCTCCTTCGGGTCCCGTCGGCCAGACAATGTCGGCTGGCGGGCCCTCGGGGAAGGGCCTTTTCTGTGGTGGCTCCGACCTGGTGGAATCAACTTCCCCCCGAGGTTCGAACTACTCCCACCCTTCCGGCCTTTAAGAAAGCCGTTAAAACTCTCCTGTTCCGGCAGGCCTGGGGCTGATGTCCCCGGGGGGGGGGGGGATATGATTGGACTTGCGGTATGACTGTATTATTTTATTGTTTTATGATTGTTTTAACTCTGTACGCCGCCCTGAGTCCTTTGGGATTGGGCGGCATATAAATAAAATTAAATACAAAAAAAAATACAAATGGTGTGTGTGCCCACAGAGAGGGCTCTGAGTGCCGCCTCTGGCACGCGTGCCATAGGTTCACCACCACTGTGCTATAATAGCTACAGGTGACACTATGAATTCTCTCTCCTTCCCCGCATACAGCAGGTAATCCTGGAGGAGAGTTCAGAACTAGAGGGAACACGCTGAAATGTCAAAACAGAAAAGTTTCATTTCCTTGAATTTTTAGAAGCGTTATTAAATATAGGACAGGACTTCTTCCACTACAACACAGGGTTCAATCTGTAGACCCTTAAAAATGAACATTTTAATTTTTTCCAGACATGCCTAAGATAAGTCAAAATCGGTTCTGGCTCTACCTGAGATTTCTTGCTTTCGTTCTCTTTCTTTTCCAGCTGAGTCTTCAACTTTCTTCTCTCCTGTTCAAGTTCCCGCACTCTCTTCTGAAGTTTCAGGAAGAGACTCATGTCCATGGCTGCCTTCTCCAAGCCCACTTCCTACGGAGGAACAGGAATAGCTAACAATGTGAAAGGAGGGTAGAGAGAAGCAGAGAAGACCCCCAACTCTCTGGAAACTTGGAAGAATGGGGTCACTTTGCTGAGAATCACTGAGAACCACCTACAAATAAGCAGGCCCCATTTGAGAAAGAATATGCAGTTCAGTTCTCTTTTGGAAACCAGGACTTGAAGTAAAAATGGCTGCACATCTTTGAAGAGGCAGTTTTTGTGTATCTAGATAGCTCAACTCTTTTTGGCTAAACGGAAGTCCGAAAAGCACTTTGCAAATTAAACAGGTGACAAGGTCAGGGGTAGGCCACCTTGGCTCTTTTATGACTCATGGACTTCAACTCCCAGAATTCCTGAGCCAGCATGGGAGAACTATGGCCCCCTCATGACTGGTGGACTTCAACTCCCAGAATTCCTGAGCCAGCCATGCTGAGGGGAAAGGGAGAGATTTCCAAGCTGAGCCAGGCTGGCTCAGGAATTCTGGGAGTTGAAGTCCACCAGTCATGAGGGGGCCATAGTTCCTCCATGCTGGCTGAGGAATTATGGGAATTGAAGTATGCAAGTCATGAAGTGGCCTTAGTTCCCCATGCTGGCTCAGGAATTCTGGGAATTGAAGTCCACGAGTCATAAAAGAGCCAAGGTTGCCTACCCCTGGCCTAGGCCTAAGTCGCTTTATGACTCATGGACTTCAACTCCCAGAATTCCTGAGCCAGCATAGCTCAGCTTGGAAACCTCTCCCCTGGACTAAGGTTGCCTACCCCTGGACTAAGAACATTTCCAATATGGAGAACGCTTCCAAACATCTGCTTTTATCCTCCACAACTCTTGTGGTCTCCCATGTATAGGAATAAATTTAAATGGGGCTCCTACACACCCAAGTTGCAAAAGAGATACAAGACCTTAGCAAGAGCATCATGTATGTAAGAAAAGGCTTCATGTGTCACGCATGGCTTGGGGCAAAGTTACTCTCAGGACCATGAGGTCTGGCAGGAGAGACATGCTCTGGGTTCTGTCCTCAAGAGAGCACCATCCGGTGCGATATTCAACTTTAGGATTTCTGGACTTCAACTCCCAGAATTCCCCAGCCAGCCATATAGGCTGGGGGATTCTGGGAGTTGAGGTCCACACATCTTATAGTTGCCAAAGCTGAAAAACAAAGATCTACTGCAGGGATCCAAACTTGGCTGGCTGAGGAATTCTGGGAGTTAATTTTAACACAAGTGTTAAAATTTGGAGACCCCTGATTTAGTGGGACAGGAGGAACGTCTTTTCTGCTCTGACACCCACCCTTTGGGACATCCTTCCCCCCCCCAAGTCAAATTTGCCCCAACTCAGCTGGGATTACACAAGGCATCAAAAACATAAGGCATCAATCCTGAGGCGCTGGGAGTATGGATGAGCTGGCTTTTTGGTTATATTGATTTTGAGGCGATGTAATTATTCTCAGCTGCTATTTTATACCATGTTATGTTATTTATGTTTTTCATTATTGGTTGTGCTTTCATTCTGTTTTAAAACAATGCTGTATAAGAGATGGGTGGCCATATTCATTAATTAAGTGGGTTACAATGGGATCCTAACCAAACTGCAATGCAGAATTTCACCGTTTCAAGGCCAGGTTTGAAAAGAGAACTAAAACACGGAAGAACTCTAGTTTAAGTAATTTTAACTCACGCAAGCTTTGTGTGTGCAACATGAAATGTAGAAGCTTTTTAAAATATATTGGAATTTGACACTTGAATGCCTTGTATGTAAAGATTGCAAGGAAGGAACCTATAACTCTTTGGAAAGCAAATCTACGTAAATATATCTCTAGCAAATGCTGGTCCTAATTTTAAAACATTATTGCTCATTGTGCTCTATGTACAGTCCTAAATCTCTGGGGAAAGCATTCGTTTAAACAGAAATCCTCCGTAATTGGCTAATTAAAAAAAATAAAACCAGAAAGGATCCTCTCAATATAAAGCTGAGGTTGTAAGGCTTCTGCTCCAGGATTTTATATTCTCTTCAGTCCTATAGCTTAATAACGGCACTTTCAAATCACCATTGTTGAATTTAAATTAGATTTCCTTACCGCCCCATCTTGGCCATGCTGGCTGAGAATGGGGAGGGGGGCTTGTAATTCAGCCCAGAGAGAGGTCACCAGAGATAACATGGACAGCAAACACATTTACTTTGCCTCCGCAGAAAAAAAAATCTTCCTTTACTTCCAATTCCATACCTCTATCTGCTGTATCGCATCTTCCGTGTCTCCTATTTCAGATGTAGAAATGGATGGGTAGTTGGAATCCGATTCCAAGCTGCTTTGGTTTGAGGGGTTCCTTCTGTGCCCTGGGCTTTGCTATCCAAAGAGGGAAACTGTATTAGATTGACTCAGCTGGTACATCAGGTGCAAAAAAAAACCACCAAAAAACAATTGTCGAGTTGACCTCTCTTGAGATCGTGACCGTTTCTGCTTAGAAATAATGGCAGGAGTTGTATTATTTTTTTAAGGAAACAACAACGTTAACATTACAGTAGGCTGATGAGAGCTTACTTGGCTGATGCACAAAACCCACATCAGAGGACATGCTGACGCTTGTATTCCACGTGGGCCTCCTGTCACCATCCAAGCATCACACCGGATGAAACTGTGACCAAGGAGGCCTCAAGCAATAAACAGAGTGTCGGTCTTTAGGATGCTTAATTTACTGTATCTGGGAGATGGTTCAAGTGTATTTATAGCAGCAGAGGATGAAGGCATGAAGCCTCTTGTCCACACACTGCTCATATTCCTCATGTGGACCATGTGTGTAATTAAAATCTAAATTAGAGCTCAGCCCAAATGACCTTTTACATTTCTTCACCAAATTTGGAAACGGAGACTTTGGGAAGATCATTTCTATGAATGTACCCAGAAAAAGCTCTCTGGGAATTGTAGAAAGGGATGAAGCTACCCTACCACCACCCAGCAGCAACGGTTGCACTCCCATTAAAAAAAAAAAACAAAAAACCTGGCACCCAGCATAAGGCTGGAGGCAAAGGATGTGCTTGAGACTTCTGTATGGAGACAGTACACGAATGAGAAGGAAGAGGTAATCACCAGACATTTGCTGAGGCACTTGGCCGTCTCCAAGGGGAAAATGGGAGACCAAATAGAAGTTCTGGTAGAGGCCATGGTGATTGTCTCACCATTAGAAGAGGCTCAGATATGGCCTTGGAGTTCAACTGTGCTGTCACAAGGGCAGATGAACCGCCCTGGCTGTTGGCCAGGACTCTTGTGGAGCAGACGAAAGCAACATGTTGATTAGCCAAGCCAACCAAACCAAGATGATTGGCCAGTCCACAGCCATTAGGGTTAGATCATATAAAGCAGGAGTGTCTAACTTTGTCAACTTCAAGATTTGTGGACCAACTCCCAGAGTTCCCCAGCCAGCCATACTGGCTCGGGAATTCTGGGAGTTGAAGTCCACAGGTCTTAAAGCGTAAACCCAATATTATAAAGCATAAATGGCCACTGGCTTAGATTGTAAAATCATTTACACAACCCTGCTGCCAATATTAACTGATCTACAAAAAGCTTAGCACACACAACTTGTGATGCATTAAGTTCAATAACATAAGAATCGTAAGTTCAGAACACAAGGATGGAGTAAAAATAATTAATTAGCATCCTGTTCCACTCATTATGATTCCACTGATCCAATCCTATCCTCCGAAAGGAATTTCAGAAGCGGGTTCTCTTCCATTCAACTGAATCAAAGCGCAGAAGAACATAGACGATCACTTGGGACTAAATATTAGTACTAGCCCTAAAAACTGCAAACAGGCCACAGCTACAACATCAATAGAGCCCAGGTGGCGCAGTAGTTAAAATGCAGCATTGCAGGCAAACTCTGCCCACAGCCTGGAGTTCGATCCTGACCAGCTCAGGGTTGACTTGGCCTTCCATCCTTCCAAGGTTGATAAAATGAGGACCTGGATTGTTGGGGGCAAATAGGCTGACTCTGTAAACCACCCAGGGAGGGCTGTACAGCACTAAGGGGCAATCTATAAACCTAAATGTTGTTGCTATTGCTAACTGACAGTCAGAACACCATCTCTGGGCATCTCATTGTGACCTCGGGATAAAGGCCCTTTCCCGTTACCTTGATGAGCGCCATCTCCTCACTGAGATTGTCGTATCTCTGCTCCAGCCTCGAATATTCCTGCACAAGGTGCTGGTAACGGACTCTCTCCTCGTCAAGCTCCTTCTTCATCAGGTTTTCTTCAAGTGCATTTTTGGCAAATTCATCTTATAAAAAAATAAGAAAGAATCTTGAGGATCACAGAAAAGAGCGGATGGCCCTCTCCAATCTGGAGAGTAGCCTGTGGATTTAGCTTTTACCCAGGCAGCCTGTCCATTGGGAATGCTCACTGCAGTCCACTGAGTTCTTCAAATCCAGCGAGTTCCTCACACCTTACAAAATGGATTACGCATTTCTTTTTTTTTTTTTTTTTTTTATTAAAAGTTTTATAAATTTTACAGAAAAAACAAAAACAATACAAAACAAAGAACAACATATACAAAAAAGAAAAATTAAACAATACATATATATAAAAAAAAAACCCCATCCCAAACCCCTCCCCAAAACCCTCCCTTCCCCCCTCTGAGCTTCCCAGAGCAGAATATAGGCTTAAAAAAATAAAGATAAGAATTAAAATAAAAACTTTATATTTATATATATAAAAAAGATGTCTATAATATATATGAAAATAAAACTTATGAAAAAGCTATATGATATTTTTGTATACCCAATCTAAATTGTATAAATTTTATCCATTTATCCCAAATAGCAAGAAACTTCTCTTGCGTTTGTTGCTTTAAGAAAGCCGAAATCTTTGCCATTTCCGCCAAATAAGCTACTTTAAAAAACCATTCCTGCAATGTAGGCAAAGATTCCTTCTTCCAATATTGTCCAACTAACAGCCTCGCGGCTGTGATCAAGTTTAACATCAATACAACCTCCTTTGTATCACAATCTGTAACAATACCTAACAAAAATAATTGCGGAGTGAATTTTACCCTCCGTCTAAAAATTCTCTGGATATTCCACCATATTTTGATCCAAAATGCTTTTATCTCTCTGCATGACCACCAAATATGATAATAAGAAGCCTCCTTAGAACCACATCTCCAGCATTTGGGTTGTACGTCAGGGTACATATAAGACATTTTTTGTGGATCAAGGTGCCATCTATAAAACATTTTATAAAAATTCTCCCTTAAATTCTGTGCTTGAGTAAATTTGACATTTCTCACCCAAATAGTTTCCCAGGTGTCCAATGAAACTGGCTCACCAAAGTTCTGCGCCCATCTAATCATACAATCTTTAATTAGTTCCGTTTCTGAGTCCAATTCAACTAAAACCCCATAAATTCTCTTAATGTGGGTTTGTCTTTGATCCTTCAGTTGCTTAATAAGATTTTCATCTTCTCTAAGAAAACCCACCTTACAATCCATCTTCCATCTATCTAGTAGTTGCCTATATTGGAACCAAGAATAAGTAAAATTTTCTTGTGTTATAAATGGATTACGCATTTCTATCATACGTGTACCCACAGTATTATGTGCTCCTACTATGTAATTTTATGACTGTTATCCAGGTGCTCTAGGCCATACGCTAAGTAAAATAACTGCAGTCCAGAATGGAAATAAACTGGTTAAAACTCTTAAAAGGAAACTTCTGAAGATTTACATTCTAGGGCACATGGTCTACTTTGCTAGCATTATAAATAACTTAGAGCAGGGGTCCCCAACCTTGGCTACTTTAAGACCTGTGGACTTCAACTCCCAGAATTCCCCAGCCCACAGGTCTTAAAGTAGCCAAGGTTGGGGACCCCTGACTTAGAATATCTATAGGCCACCCAGAGTCGCTTGATTGGTGAAATGGGTGGCCTACAAATTTAATAAATATGCTTCTGTGCCACTTCACAAACAGAGCAGAAGCTTTAATCAGAGCAATTTTTTAAAAGAAAATTCATCCAACAAAAAGTTAAAATGCCCAGTTACTCAGGCATCCTTTTTTTTTAATGTGGTTGTTTTTCATTTACTTTTTTTAAAAACAAGGAAGAGCTCGTACAGCATTATTTACTTTCACACTGCACAAATTTCCTCTAAGGTAGAAGGGAACACTTCAACATCCTTGCCGTCAGATGCACAAATTAACTCCAAAGTTCAACTAATATTGATTTCGTCAGGCGCGCGGACGGATGTCTAAATGAGGCCTCTGACAGTTTCAGCCATGAAATGCATTTCTTAGCCAATTTCCAGACTACAATGCTTCAATAAAGTAACACCGAATGCTTACAATTCAGACTTGTTTTCATTTCTCTACTTTACTCTTTTTCACTTGGTTAATGTTTAACTTAATTTTACGTTAAACTGATTCTCGACTGGGTTGCCCCAGTGTTTTCTCAATGCGCTGAATGTATCCTGGTTTGAACATGGCTGTTTTTAAATGGTTCGCAGAGTTTTCAAGACAAAGAATCCTTTTATCATAGAATGTTTCATTCCATACAATTCCCTCCCCACCTCCTGATTCCAGGGATTAAATCAGTTTGTACTTGGAATCCTTCCACCTTCAACAGAGAAATTTCAAGCCATATTTTTGAGAGAGAGAGAGAAAAGGCAACCTGTTTGAAAATGACCACAATTATTATTATTTACAGTGGAGACGAGGAGAAAGGACTCCTAAACGCATATTGGGAGAAAATACAAACACTTTCACTTCATGATCAGTACGAATGAAGGCATCTGCTAGCTTCTGCTTACCTTCTGAGTGACCCAAGATTTTGTTGTTTAGCATCTCTTTTTCTTCCTTCAGGAGGACATTCTCTTCTTCCAAGTCAGAGATCCTCTAAGAGGAACACAAAAAAACCAAGTTAACGTCCACAATGTTGGCCAGTTTGAGGTCCCTGTACCCTGCAGGCCGATTCTGTTTCACACTGGCTGACTTTTATAGCCAAACCGGTTCCTTCCGCCTTCCTTTATTAAAACAAGGATAGTTTTGCTCTCAGCCTAGGCCAGTGAGTGGCTTTCAGTGGTATCTTAAAGAGGAACGCAACACAAAATGAGCAAATGTCGACAGGCTACGCAGCTCCCAAATTACTACGGGTCATTTAACGACCGTTCAAAGTTACAACGGCAGTGAAAAAAGTGACTTATCACCCTTTTTTTCATACTTATGGAGCATCTGCAGCATCCCCGGGGTCACGTGATCAAAATTCGGACGCTTGGCAACTGACTCATATTTATGACGGTCGCAGCGTCCCAGGGTCACGTGATCCCCTTTTGCAACCTCCTGAGAAGGAAAGCCAATGGGGGGGGAGAGAGGCCAGATTCACTTAACAACTGTTTTACTAACTTAACAACTGCAGTGATTCACTTGACAACTGTGGCAAAAATGGTCGTAAAATGGGGAAAATTCACTTCACAAATGTTTCGCTTAGCAACAGAAATTTTGGGCTCAGTTGTGGACATAAGTCAAAGATTAAAGAGGATCAGGGGATTGGAGGCTAAAACATACAAGGAACGGCTGCTGGAATTGGGGATGTCTAGTTTAAGGAAGAGAAGGACGAGGGGGGACAGGATAGCAGCCTTCCAGTATCTCAGGGGCTGCCCCAAAGAAGAGAGAGTCAAGCTGTTCTCCAAAGCCCCTGAAGGCAGGACAAGAAGCAACGGATGGAAACTAACCAAGGAGAGAAGCAACCTGGAACTAAGGAGAAATTTCCTGACAGTGAGAACAATTAACCTGTAGAACCACCTGCCTCCAGACTGGCTCAATGAGAGGAAAAATTTATTTATGGCAGAAAGATTTAAAATTGTTACTTTGATAAACACTCTATTACTACATCCCATCACCTACAAGAATGAATTCATTATATTTTACTAGATGAGCTATTTATCTCGCGTTTTCACTCAAAATGAAAATGTTGAGCAGTTGGGCAGTCAAAGGGAAAAAATGAAAGTTAGTAAGAGAAATAAAATTAATTTTTAAAAGGCTATGAAAAGCTTAATGAAGCATACATCAAACAAAAAGCCATCATAAACATTGTGGTTGTTTAGAAATAGCAATGTGTGTCACATGCAGGCACACTTAATGAAGACTTAATGAAGGCAGGACAAGAGGAAGCAACGGGTGGAAACTAATCAAGGAGAGAAGCAACCTGGAACTAAGGAGAAACTTCCTGACAGGGAGAACAATTAACCAGTGGAACAACCTGCCTCCAGAAGCGGTGAATGCTCCAACACTGGAAGTTTTTAAGAAGAGACTGGACGGCCATTTGTCTGAAATGGTATAGGGTTTCCTGCCTGAGCAGGGGGTTGGACTAGATGAACTCCAAGGTCCCTTCCAACTGTTATTTGGGCATTGGTAACCTTGATTGGAGTATCCTAATAACCCACCTGTAAAGTGGTCTGGAGATGGGCACAGAAAGGTTGCTGACCGATTGCCTTCCCATGTATATTTTAGACCTCTGCTAAAATTGGGTGCCTGCTTGTCAGATGCAATGTTGTGAGATTGGCCCACAAATACTAGACAATGCTTGTGACCAGAATATCAAAAAGAGAATGTGGCCTGCCCAATAGAGAGTTACTCCCCCCTTATTGATTGCTTCTGGTTTTAGGGAATGTTGGTTTGTTTTTGGCAAAGCGAGTGGTCCATAACCTGATACAATAAATAAATCACCCATCAATCTCGGGTCAATTTTTAAGATTCTTTTCAAGCCACATATATCAGGTACCTAGGAAGTAAAAAAATGATACAGATTTTAGGATATTGTTAAAGCTGTTCTGGGGGTAAATACAGAATCTTAAAAATTTTAAGAATAAATTTGTAAACTCAGAGTGTGTAAATTAAGGCAAAATTTCTTTTGACAGCCTTTCTCTCACATCTGAACATCTTCCCTTCAACCCACTTTCGTCTCTCGCTTTCCCACAATCCCTGGGGTGGGAGAATGCGAATCTGGATCTCCCTAGCCCAGCATTTTAACCATTATAGCACACTGCCTCAGCATACCGCTTCCCATCACACCTGGAACACACAACCCTAAGCAACACACAGGTAGTCCTTGACTTACAACCATTCGTTTATTTACCATTCAAAGTTACACTAGCACTGCAAATAGTGACTTATGACCAATTCCCCCACTTACGACCATTGTAAGCATCCCTGTGGTCACTTGATCAAAATTCGGCCCCTTGGCCACTCTCTTGTATTTATGACGGCTGCAGTCTCCTGGGATGGGGTGATCCCTTTTTGCAGCCTTCCGACAAGCAAACAAGAATGGGGAGCCACATTCACTTAACAACTGTGTTAACAATTGCAGTGATTCCCTTAATAGTGGCAAAAAGGTTGTAAAATGGGGGAAAAATTACTTGCCAACTATCTTGCTTAGCGATGGAAATTTTGGATTCAATTTTGTTCATATCTTGAGGACTAGCTGTATTAATCAAACCAATTAAATTAATAATTTTGTGTGTGTGCCTTTGCGTCAATTTGGATTCATAGCAACTGCCTGGAGAAGTCCTTGCAGTTTTTTAGCCAGATTTTCAGAACTGGTTTGGCCTCACCTTCGCCTTCCTTTGGGAGAGCGAGAGAGGGAGGGAGGGAGAGGGAAAGAGAGAGGGAAAGAGAGAGAGAGAGAGAGAGAGAGAGAGAGAGACTGGCTCAAAGTTACCCAGATGGTTTCATGCCTAAGAATGGACTAGAAATAATGGTTTCCTGGTATCTAACCTGGTTCCTGAAGCACTACACCAAACTGTCTCTACAACAACAACAATAATAATAAAGTTGGAAGGGACCTTGGAGGTCATCTAGTCCAACCCCCTGCTCAGGCAGGTAACCCTACACCATTTCAGACAAATGGCTGTCCAGTCTCTTCTTAAAAACTTCCAGTGTTGGAATGTCCACAGCTTCTGGAGGCAGGTGGTTCCACTGGTTAATTGTTCTGACTGCCAGGAAGTTTCTCCTTAGTTCCAGGTTGCTCCTCTCCTTGATGAGTTTCCATCCGTTGCTTCTTGTCCTGCCTTCAGGCTCTTTGGAGAATAGCTTGACTCCCTCTTCTTTGGGGCAACCCCTGAGATACTGGAAGGCTGCTCTCATGCCCCCCCCTTGTCCTTCTCTTCATTAACGAAATTAGCGTACCTGAAGAAGCTACTACCCTAAATTGTTTTGGACAAGTCATTTTAGTGCAGGCAATATTATTCTGTTACACGGGGGGGGGGCACAGGACCACAGCCTGACACACCAGATTTTATTGTGCATGACAAAACTGCAGCTCACTGAAGAATAAGGTTAATTTGGGGAAACTGCTACTCAGATTGTATGAGGCTTTTGAGCAGTTATAAAAAGGAGGCTTTTGTGCCTCCATATCATAGCGTGTTTTTCTTTGTTGTTGTTGCAGAATAGCAATTTAGGACGTCTGTATAGATGTCTAGTTTTCAATGTATGTTCATACATTTTTCCACACTTTTCTCAGCAGGAAAACTCTGCAGAGACATTTTAGCAGTAATTGCAGATGACGTTAAAAGCAAGGAGAAACGGGAAGCAGGAAGCAGTGGGAGAAACTCTTAGAACCAAAGGCCTTCAAGCTGCTTTCTAATGAACTTCTCAATATGCTAAAGAACAGAAGGGGAAGGTGGAGGAAACCCCCCCCCCCCGAAAGCGACAAAATTAGAGCAGGTTTTCAATGCCAGGGCCCAACAAGAGAGCAACCCCTGTGAGGACCTCAGCTGACCTCAAAAACAACATGAGGTCCAGTAAGTCCTTGAAACCACATCAAAGTTGTTAGGTGCCAGGATGGGAGACCACCAAGAAATTCCATTCTTAAGCCTAAATTGATAAGTTGTTTAAAAAAAAAAAACCCAGAAGACGGCAATGGTAAATCGACTTTAAATTTGCAGAGAAAAGCACAAGTATGTGAAACCGTTAGGAGCTGAGCTCAATGGAATAAGCACCTTAAAAACCATTTAAAAATAAAATAATGCCCTTAATCCTCAACGTCTCGGTACATTAATTTTGCCCTTGCTCTGCTATTGCTTTCGTCTTTGGCACGGCTGCAAATTAAAAGGTGCACATAACATGCAGTCACAAGGCGGCCTGGATCCCCTGAGCATAAGTACAAGCAGCTCTCGGCTTACAACCGCTTGTTCAGTGCCTGTTCGAAGTCACAACGGCACTGAAAAAGGTGACTTGCAAGGGATCCTTGCACTTACGACCGCTGCATGGTCACGTGATCACAATTCGGGCACTTGGCAACTGGCCTGCCTTTACGACAGCTGCTGTCAGAATCCAATTATATTTCATCTTTAAATTATCAAATATAGAAACTCCCAATTCTGCCTTCTCTGGATTCTGCCATAAGAGGGAGAGAAGGGGGAGAGCAAAGGGGCTTTATGGCCCTCACTTCCTTCTTTACACTTCAAAGAGCTGAATGTGTGTTTATTGTAACCTCTAAGCGTTAACATATCAAAGAAGGGTAATTGCCTTTCATGTAGTATCTGAAGTCTCCATCCAGACAGAAGAAAGAAGAAAGGAGGTGGAATTGTGATACTTGAAACTATCACTGGAAGGGGGGTTGATTGGGTGGGACTACTGGGGAACCCCTTAAAACCTTGAATGGGAGAGCTTGGACCCCAAGTCCTGTCTAGCATGCCTGCAACCATTTTCTCTTAATAAAGGATTCCTGTTGGAAGAACTATTCCAAGAGTTCTGTCTTCTTAAGATGCAAAGTGGGGTGGGTCCTTACATTAGACAGGACTTGCAAAATTAATCCACCTGGAAGGTAGACCCTTGCCGGGGGATTTTGCAAAAATTTACCATGTCAGACAACGAAGCAAGAGAGGGAGAAAACTCCCTGGAAAGAGAGCCGCTGACCCAGTTGGAACCTTGCCAGATGTTGGGATCCGAGAGGCCAGATTTCTCAGAAGAAGAAGTGGTGGAGACACAGGACCACAAGCCTCGCTGGTCGATGGGCGTTGGAAAGAAAAGCGAGTGGGGAAAGGAATCAAGAAAAGTGACCCTGAGACGGGGGACCAAGCAACCAGAATGGAAGCAGGAGATGGAGAAATCCCTGCACGCAAGTGAAGAGGGAGGAAGCTGTATGCCGTACTCAGACTGGATCCTAGAGAGAGCTATTGACCTGATGAAGAGAACTCTCAGCTCCCT